CATAGAGAACGTAGGTACTACAACTGGCGGCGAGGGTGAGATGGGGTCCAAGGACATTATAAATTCCGCCGCCGAGGATGCCGAAGATGGCGAAGGTGGCGTAGAGAGCTGTGTTGGCGTTGTTGGCAATGGTGTGGTCGACCTGGCCGCCTCCACCCATTCCGGCCAGTGCGCCGTACATGCCAGGGCAACAGAAACAGACCAGCCCAATGAGAGTCACTTGGACCAAGGGCGAATTGTACCGTAGTCGGGATTTGACCGGCAACTGGGTGACGGATTCTTCGTCTTTTCCGTCGACACCCATTGAATCAAGAAAAATGAAATCGGAATTGAGTGAGAGGAAGAAAAAGGAATTTGGGGAGTACTGAGAATCAAGAGAGAGGCTGAAACACGGCTTTCCAAGTCTGAATAGATAAGAAGTACGAGTGATTTTTTTTTTTTTGGATGTTCAGACTTCAGAGTGAGTGTGAGGTTAAAAGAACATGTTGGGGACTGAAAAATATCATTGCCCGGATTATAACACGCCAATGGTCTACGTATTTGTCTTTGTATTCTAACATTATAAATGTAAGCAACATTATTAATATTTATTAATTTAAAATTTTTAATTTATGATTAAGATAAAAAACATAAAATGTGTAATGCAAGTAACGAACACCTTTATAAAAAAAGAATAGTATTATAAATACAAATAATTACTTGCTCTTTTACTGTTACAAGCCACATGCAGTATGAAAATTTTAATACTCCGAGAATATAATATTAATTTGGGGAATAGTGATATTCATATGTTAAAAATTAAGAGAAAAATTATTTTTAAATTATATTATTTTAATAAATTTTTATTAAAAATTTAAAATATTTTATTTTTAAAATATAAATTAAAGTGTTTTTGTTTTTTTATAATATTTTATTAAAAAATATAATTTTAAAATAATTTTTTTCTTAATTTTAAAAAAATAAGTAGATAATAACTAATCCTAATAGTTTTTTTATTCAAAATTTATAAAAATTAATGATTTTTTATATGTAATTTCTAAAGGAGAAATAATTTTCCGTGCTTAATTTGTTGTTATCAGATCCTTTAACCTTAAGTTTTATTATTCATTAATTATATTTCTTTATCTTCATCTTTTTGTTAAAGTAACTTAACTACCGCTAAACATAAATTATCATTAAATTTTTTATACAAAAAATGATTATTTCACGTTATTGTAAGAGAGAGAGTATATTAGATTAATAATATTATTATGTAAAAATAAGATAATATTTGGTATTCATTATTATTTTACGAAAGCCAATAGAATCAAAAAGTAAAATAATATTTGATATTTATAGTAAAGTTTAGTGATTAAATATGATGTTTATTTAAGGTAGGGAATTATTTATATATAAATTTTAAGTATGTTTATTTTGTGTTTTAAGAACACATGATACTAGCAATAATTATGTAATTATTGTGATATTTTTTTTAAATGGTGTGAAATTTTAAATTAAAGGAATAATTTTTTTATTGTTAATTTAAAAAAACATTAAAAACCTAATACATCACGTTTATAATTAAAATAAAAGTCATTTTCATTATTTTTAAGGTAGAAAGTAATAACTATTAGATAATAATTATTTTTTATTCTATACCCTTACATAAATTGATAAATATTATAAATTATACTTATATAAAATCTCAATAATTTATCTCTTTATTATTAATAATTAAAATTTATTCATATTTATTAAAAATAATAATTTTGTATAAAAACTCATAATAAATTTTAACTATTCCAAATGAAAAGATAAATTATTAAAATTTTATATAAATATAATATATAAAACTTATATATAAATATATCTCTCATTTATTTATTTATATTTTGATTTTTAATTATTTGACCTCAACTAGCATTTCAGTTCTATACCATACAATTTTTTTGAACGCAAGGAGAACTTTCCATTACATCACCGCCATACGGCATCTACAGCAAAGCCTTATCCAATGGATAAGAGGAGACAACAAACAGAGAAAAACATCTGGAGAGAAAAGGCAAAGTAAACCCATTTTGTAAAGAATGAAGGGAGGTGAAAAGTACACTCAAACAACCGCAAGGAACAAGTTGTATAGATTCCGGTGGTCGAACGATCCAGCAAACAGGACACCCCTTCAATCTACTCATGAAGAGGTTGCACCAGGCTTCCAGGATACCGAGGCAGGAAACCCACATAGGTGAAGACCATCCCCTTTCAGCATCATGAGAAGCGCGATGGCCGCCAGATCTAGGGAAATCGACGAGCACCTCCAAAGATCTACGTGATGGGTAAGTGGGCCGTCGAATCTGAAAGCAAACAAAGAAAACAGAAAAACAAAAAACCAAGAAAACAAACAGGAAAACAAAAAACCAAAAGAAGGCCACCAGAAGGGGTCCAACAACCGACAGACCATAGCGGGTCATCGGAACAGGGAGCATGAAGCTGGCTCCATCATGCTTGAGCAACTGGAGGTCCTGGCAGCTCAAGCATCAAAAACTCGGAAGCCCACGGCCTTCCGATCTCAAAACAACAAAAACACAGGGAAAGGTAGTCAGAAGCAGGAGAAGAAGGTAGAGAGAGAGCTCTTTGTTGGAGATTAACTACTTCTATACCATACAATTTAAATCTAAAATCTTTAACCCTAATTAAAAAAGAGTTTATTGCTAAACTGTTTAAATGATTGGTATTAAATTAACAGATGCTAGTTGTACTTAGACACCATTAAACACTCCCTAAACGGCCGGTTAAAGTCATTAAAAATATTCGGATTCACAAAGATTCTAAAAGACCGATCCATATTAGTATAGCAAATATTTAGTAAACTTTAATTAAATTTTTATTATTTTAAGATTATTTAATATTATTTTTAAAAAGGTCTTTAGAGCTACTCTATAAATTATTAGTATAAAAGCATGTTTTTATTCATGTAGCTAAGATTCGAATTCTTATTCTTTTTTTCATTTTTCTCTTA